CCGCCGCACCCCAAACAGCGTCGGAAGCCAAAGAAGCACCTCCAAGCCCTCGATCGCCATGTGGCGCAACAAATAGGCCGTGCCCGCGGCCAGAAACGCAGACCGATGCTTCCCCTTCGTGCCTCAAACAAACAAAGGCGTGGAATAAGCAACAGCCCAAACCGCTGCAATTCTTAGTGATCATTTTCGCAGCCGTTAAACTTGCAACCGCTGCAAACCACAGTTTCAACCCACGTGCAAGTCAATCTGCAACAGGCCAGCAAACACACCCCGAACGACTCTAGCTGACTTTGTGAGGCAACCTCTGTTCCAGCACCGACTCACTGTTGACAGGTCCTGGCCAAAAAATGACAGATGCTTGGCACTGGCCACCAAACGAACGTCAACCCAACAATGTGAGCAATTGCGGCGATTGCAGGAAAGGCGCACAACATTTGGTCTAGAACAGGCATCCGTGTTGTTTAGGCACAGGAAATGAACCCCTGGGCACGATTCCCAAAGTGGCCAGTGTCGAGTCATGTGTGCCACTCAATGATCTGCAAAGGGTTGCCGCTCTGCAGGAACATTGGCTGGATCTTGCGACGGCAAACAGCCTCATCCTAACCAGCTGTCCTAAAACCAACCCGGTAGGGCCGATTGACTGAGCAAGTGCTACCCCTTTGGCAAAGCTTTCTGGGCTTTGGAAAATATTGAACCCCAGCGCTGGCTGGGGCTCGCCAAGACTAGCTTCAGAACGAATCAACCTTGAAATGCCCGTAAAGAACATGGAATGTGACAGGGCCATTGAAACCTGAGGCCAGCCTGGCTTCATACTATGATTTCTTGTTACGCTGGCCTGGCGTGTGACTTAACCATCACCAATGTGTCCCCCCCGTATTATGAGTCAGAATGTACTTCCCCGCCCAGGACTCGAGAACATGCTCTTTGCTTCAACTGTCAAGCACAGTTCACTGTCAAGCACAGTTCACTGTCAAGCATTGTTGAATGCAAGCGCCCGAGCGTTGCCTTTTCATAGGGAATCTGGCGGGATGCGGGGCAAGATGGACTATATGAAGAAATTAACAACTTCAAAGAGCGGAAGACGGACACTCCTAAGAATTGGACGGCTTGACGCTGCGCCGGGCAACATTCAACATGACCAACTCGACATCGAATGCTTCTCTTTGAAGGGGGTAGTCTACCCATCATTCAATCATACCTTCAATGAGCGCGTAATCCGTGAAATCACGCCAAGCCACACACCAGCGCGTGCACCAGATTGGGGTTCACGCTCCCCTGCGAAACCCGCAAGAAGGACAAGAGCACCTGCAAGGCAGCACAAGTTTCCGAAGAACAAGATAGGGCATTCAGCCACTCATGACTAAGCCCCTGTCAAAGTTTGCAGTCAATAAGAAAACATTAAAAAGTTTTTCTATATCAAACCGCCCGAGCCTTCAGGAAACAGTGCGACCTAATCCTCTTTAATAAGCAAACATTTGAAGGGTGCGACACCAGGAGGCAAGGCAAGATTTGTCTGGCGGTCCGTAGCCGTCAAACAGCGCAATCATATGAGCAGCTATGATCCAACGTGTTAGTAAGACTACATTGTGCGACCAAAGAAACCTTGGGAAACCAAGCAACCCAACAGCAAAGCGTGCCAAATGAGCCACGCAGCCGTGAGTGAGTGCTGCAGCAGCATGAACACAGATGGGCTCTTGATCAGCTCACGCTGCATGCGGTAGTCCTGCAAGGAAGGGCTCACAACAATCATAGCTGACTCTTGCTCCGACGAAACATGTAACACAGGATTGTGAGACAGTCCATCAAAAAACCAAGTGGCAAACTGTTTAACATTCAGAAAATGAGCAAACGCGACACATGGCGGGCGGGAACAAACAACAAGACCATGTGCCCCCACCCAGCTCAGGCGAGCGGGTCATGCCGTGTGCGGAAGGCGAATTGCACGAAACCGTAACTCAGAGACTCGTGCAAACTGCAGCGCAAGAATAACATGGATCACGCGGCAGGCGGAAAGCAAACACCCCGCAGCAGGACTGCAAGCCGCAACGCAGCTCGTTGTCGTTCCAGAGAAACATGCATGGACATCATGGACTATGGACTGCACGTTGGGCGGCAGGCGCAAACAACTCAAACGATAAAGCGTTGCATCAAGTGCTTTTGCGCGGCTCACATTGAATAAAACAAAAAGTGGATCATGCGGAAGGCGGAAGGTGGACACAGTCCGGCCACAGTGCAGCCAAAGTGCCCTGGCAGTGCCCGTCACCGAGAAGTCACGGTCAGGGTCATTTGGCCACAAAGCCCGAACCTTACATCACCACGGTACGTTTGGAGAAACAACAAAACAAGTTGACAACACACCCTGTTGCGGCTTCGGCGCAATTTCTTGATTGTTTGGGGAGTTTGCAGGAGGGCGCTCGTAGTTTGCAACAGGAGCCCACAGAGGCCTAACTTCTCCAAACAGCAGCTTCGCTAACAGTTGTGGCTTGTGACAGATGAGGAGTTCTGCGGCGGCCTGCAATGATTACAGTGTCATCTCGTGAGTTGCGAGTTATCATTCTCAGGGCATCGGTTTGTTGAATTGTCGTAGGACAAGTGATGAATAGACACCTTGACTTTAAAGTCCAAATAAAACACATTTTCGGCCAAGGCACGTCCAAGGTGCCCACCGTGTGATCCCTGTACTCCCGCTTCAAGAACCGCGGAATGATGGCGTGGCCGGGCTCACCGTCGTACCTCTCCTCCGCCCCATAGGCGACCACCACCACCTGCCGCCGCACAGGATCCATGATGCCGAAGGCGACTTTGCGTGCTTGCTTGCTTGCTTGCGCTCGCTTGCTTGCCTGCTTCCTTGGCTGATTCCTTTGCATTTGCAGGCTTGACTTGCCATGCTTCCTGCTGACAGTCATAGCCACCTGCTCAAAGTCAAATGCTCCAAGTCAGTCATGGTCACCTGTCACTGTCTTGCCTGTTCAAGGCTGCCAAATCTTGCGGAAGTCGCACAAGCCAATCTCTAGAGGACGTCAGATCAGCAACTCAACAACTCCATCAGCAGTCGCAACCAGCAATGTTCAGATTCAAATTTCAAAACCAGCAAAGGTCCAGGCAAGATTTGACATAAGTGTTGCAACAAGTGGCTGAACCTATGAATCTCGTCTCACGTGGCCTTTCTGCTTGCAACCGACTGAACAACTGCGCGGGGCACCGATCCGGCTTTGCGTCTTGACACTGGCTTCCTCCCTCCACAACCTCGGCAATGCACCCCATCGATAATTGAGTCATTAAAGCAACGACACCGTGATATGTGCAAGACTCTTGTCAGTAGGTCAATGGTCCAAGCCTCTGCAATGCCGAATGTGATTGACAACCGGAAAAAAATAGGGTTCTGATCATGCCTGCAATGTCTAGTAGAATGTTCAGCATAAGTCTGGAACCAGTTGCCACATTCGCTCTGAGGCCCCTGCTAGGTGCATGCTCTTGAGGAAGATAATGACCACATCAGCATCGCATGAAAAAAAAGTAAGCTGGCCCCAATGCAACAAACCATTGGATAGGTTCAATTCATGGCCAAACATCCACGCATCGACTCACACGAACACGTATTTAAACACAGACACACGCACACACAAACAAACAGGCCTGCGCACACAAACAAACACGGGCCAAAAATCCCACCCTTTGAGCGCATTTTCATCCGCGCCTTTCGCTAGAACACTGAACCCTGACATTGCCTGTGAGAACCCGCGTTTCCCCGCGCACACCAGTAAGTTGTATATATATATACATATGATTATCATTGTACATGTTTATACATACAGTAGTACCCATCATATACAAGTCATGACATTTGCCATACGACGGTTGGGTGCAACACCAACATAAGACGCTGCGCCGTGCGTAGTGCAAAGGAGCAAAAGTGCAGTTTTACGACACAACAGCACAACGCTACCACTGTGTCTGCGCAAGATTGAAAGAAGCACTAGCATTTGCGGAAGTCGTTGCAAAGCCACACAACTAAGCCGCGCCCATTCTTCTGCAATCAGACGAGGTTGCACATACGGCTGCACTCAAAACACAGCAGCTTCAAGCATGACTGGCATCTTATCAGCAGTGCCAAGCGAAGAGCAACGAGGCAACTGCAACTACCCTTGCAGCTACCATGTTCAATGTCATCAAAGCACCCCATCACACACCACACTTCAACTGGCAGCAGCAACAGAGCCAGAGCGGCCAAATCCGGGAGGCCAAAGGTGCAACAGAACTGCTAGATTGCGTCGGCTCAAAAAATGACAAAGTCAGTCTGTCACTCCATGGTGCAGCAAACATGACACGCGTGCGCGTGGATCCCATGCATGGTGACAGCAGCACCAACTATGGAACAGCAGCCACAGAGCAACACCCACGCCATAGTCCAGACTTCTCGTACCGTCAGGCAACCCGCCAACTTCTGTTTGTCAACGGCACTAAAACCATCAGGTCATCCTACACAACTTGCAATAGCAAGAAGTGTACGCCTGCAAAGGGGAACATGCATGAGCGTACATGCATGCCAGTATACAAGCATTCTCCTCAGTTGCTTCCAAGCAGGTGGCCCGTCAAACTATTTGATTTACACTTCTGCACACACTGGCCACACTGACATCAGATCCACCTAGCTAATGCACAAACGTGCCACCTTGACGAAAAAATAAAAAATGCTTCTGGGGCCATCCTAGCCTTTAAGAAGGAAATGCAAGGCAAGAAGGCTTGCACATGTTTCATCTGCAAGTCTGGCAATGGTGTTTGCATGGTGCCAACTTCCTTCCAGCCTCATCTCCACATGGCACATGCCTCTGCACTGAACGCTTGCATTGGGCCGATTTGGGGCCAATGCATTGCACACGTCAACCCCTTTCAGCATTTGCTGAGGACCGGTCGGTCATGCGGCCTAGCCTGGCTAGGTGAGATGATTGGGACGCCCGGACCTCATGAAATGCAACGAACCGCCGCTTCGGGCTCTCACTCTACACAGGCACCATGAACTGAACCATCGTCTTCTCGGGGTTCATGGTGACCTGAGAAGCTCGCACGTAATCCATGCAAACCATGAGGCAAGTTCTCGTCCTGGGTAGGACAGAACTTGCTGACCTGGTCCAACCTAGGCCCCTTGGGTCATATAACGTATATCGATTCATTGGGGTCAGCGCCTTTAGGGGACCAAACGGGCCGAGAGAGAAATGAATCAGTTCCAACACAAGCGCCATGCGCCAAGCCGCCACACTCAAGCTCTGCCAGCTCTCGATGGCCTCAAGGACCATGTCCTTGCTCAAAGCCTGCCAAGCCCGTCTAAAGATGCCATGCGCTCGCTGCACACCCGTCCTCCAAATGATTTGTCCAAAAGCGAATTGGCACAGCCAGGCCTTTCGGCAAAAAAAAAGAAGGGACGGCCAAGGCCACCCAAAACCGCCATTGGCAACTTGGCCTCCAGCGTTTAGACAGGCCATGCTACGCCACAAGAACCTCTGCCCACAAAACATGCCCGCGCCTTGTGCCCGGCCATGCTGACCACATGCGTCAAATCCACCCAGCCGTCTGCCTTGAGTGCCGCCTCTCTTCGGCTCAGATCTGCCAGGATCCTTGCAGACGAGAAGAGCCGCTGCATTGCTTGCAAGTCACCCTATGACGTCGACAAACCTGTACCGAAAAAGCATTCACACAGGCTAGCCTATTGACAAGTGGGAGAAGAACCCTTCTTGACTGACGCTTGTGTTTCCTCGCACGTGTTCTTTTTTGTCTTTACACATGTAGATGTCTTTCGAAGTGCTGTCGCCGGCTCCTGTCGCTCTGGCTTCCTCTTCCCCCGTTCCCCCTCTCGGCTGGGGGCCTGCGTTAAGCTGAGAAAGGCGTGATGCATGTCCATAAATCCTAGATGCAGGTCAAACTTCAGCGGCAACAAACCCATATCATACACAACCCAAACAGCGAAGGTTCAAAGTCAAAAGAGGTCGACAAAGGTTCAGCACTAGCCAGCCAAATAAACTGACCCGGCAGTGCGTGGCTCAGATACACAGAAAAGAGCTCGAGAAGCTTTCCGAGGCAACAATTGGCCCCTTCGCAAGGTAAAAAACAAAAACATTCCCGTGGCAGCTCGGCAGTCCCACAACACATTCTGATCAAGCTTCTCATAGACCACATCCAACGGGTTCTGGCCACGCTTGGCTGGCGCGCTCAGCTCGATGCTCTCCTGGCATGCGGCACTGCACTTTGTTTCGGCTGTCAGTCGAGCCGCGAAATCCGACCGGCCTCGAGTATATAATCTACCACTCGTGTCCAGAACTCAGGGGAGGCCCCGGACGACATTTGAGCGGCACCTCATGGCTTTACCAAATGAACCGGATGGGGCCATCGGCGCCAAACCTAGCGCTGGCCGAGTCTGGACGAGTCCGGCCCGGTGTCCTTGGACGCCTTCATGAGGCGCATGGCCTCATCGAAGTCTTGGCGCTCCACCCGGTCGGAGAATCGGGCACGTGCATGGGCCTCGCGCATACGAACCCCATGACTCGTGGAAGGTTTCAGCAAGAGTTTGCACCTGGGTGAAAGTCCCACCAAGCTGCCCGGCTCAAAACAAAAAAGCCAGGAAGTCGACTCGCACAATGCTTTGAAAGCATAAAGGTTGAACAGGATTGCACATGAGGCGGATTGTTTGTCCTGGATTAATTCTGTGCTTTGCTGCTTGCTTGATTTAAACCCCAAGAATGGTTCTGTCGCCTGCTCCTCTCGCCAGGACCCACACTTTCCGCGTGAACAGGGCTGCATGAACAAAAAACATGTGACACCCCCAACGCAGTCTCTTCTTATCCGCAAGCCCGCCTGGGACAAGCGCATGATGGCCAGCAGGGTGCGGGGCGTGGTGTAAGACTTCTTCTCCTGGATGCCCTCGCGCTTCTCGTCATCCCCTCGCGAGCCGGGCAAGGCACGAATCGGAACGTGAGGCCGGGCCATGGGCCCTGATTGCCGGCCATCCGCCCAACAGCCCACATGGTTTAAACCATCAAGCGAAGGACATCCCAAATGAACTGGGGACAGATCGCCAGATCGCCAGATCGCCAAGCCGCGCATTGCCACATAAGCGTCGGCCATGTCGCTGCGCAGGGCATCGTCCAGCACTGGTTCGAAGCTGCGGGCTTTCCTCAGAGCCGTATTCGTCCCAAGAAAGACCGGCCGATCGGAAGCCATGATCTCAGGGTCCCAGCTCCAGATTCCCAGGCCTGCGGGATCCTGCGGTTCATCTTTTGTTTTCTTGTTCACCCATACTGGCACCTGTGCAGCATGGTTCCCACCGCCCAGTTCATTCTGCATGGCTGATTGGCTGATTGGCTGATCAAGCTCACCCCAAAACCCCATGGTGAACCTTACTCGATTGCTTCGAGGCACCGGACGTAGGCGCGCATGAACTTGTGGTCAAAGGGCTTGAAGCCCAGGCCCAGCACATCTGCCTCCGCCTCAGCCTCTCCGGCATCCTGGACTGGAAGAACGGAAGGCAAACGGGAGCAGCACAAAATCGCCCGCCTTGCGGGATCGTTTTTTTTTTTTTTTTCTCGGGGGGGGGGGGGGGGGGGGGTGGGTGTTGAGGTGCTTGTGTTCGTACAGGACATTCATTATCGCCTTGTGCTATGTGTTGAGCCTCAACCCTCACAGCGCGTCCTTCTTCTCGTAGGCGCTGTGCACCTTGGTCACGTGCTCCGCCAGCTGCTTGTCCTTGCGGATCCAGAGTTTGAGGAAATAATTTCAAAACGGAAACTCTGCATCGAGGAACTCTCTTGAATCGTCTGCGCTGAGGGCCGCGCCTTGTCGCAGTCAACTGTGTCAAGCAGCAGGAACACGAGATCGAAGCGGGACAACAACGCAGCAGGCAGATCAATGTTCTCCTGGGCAGCTTGGGCAAATGACGCTCCTGGCCATGACATGACCTCTTGATGAAGGGCCGGCAAGGCAGTGGAACACGTCCGTCTTTACGTAAAAAGGTGCCAACACGGCAAGCACTGCCTTTCTTCCCCAGAACGGGCCAATACCGAACTCAGCAAGCAATTTGTAGAAACGCAAAAACAGCAATGCGACCTCCCTTTTGACAGGTTCAGCACGCCATTGCGCCATCGGCATGCTTGACGGCTCAACTTGCAACACACAGGTACGGAGCTGCGTGTTCACGCGGCCAAATAGTCCGAGATTCCACTGGCGACTTGTAGGGATTGTAGCGGCCGTACACGGGATTTGCGGCCGCCAAAATGGTAGTCCTGGGGAAATTTAGGAATTGCAGTTTGCAACAGGCCCGCAAACGGCCACGGTGCAAACCCGAAAAACAACAGGAGGCGCCTTCTTAAGTGATTCCGGGTGATTTTGTTTTACCTGGTGATTGCTCAAGCCAAGTGTTCGACCTGCGTCCACATGCAACAATGCAAGGGCAGTAAGGTCCTGCAATTCAGCGTGGTGGTAATGCCCGACTTGGCAATGGATACTGTCTGCTGCTCCATGACCTCCATGCCGATGGCAAACAGAGAGGGGGCCAAGAGAAAATGAACATGCAGCAATGCAGTCATCAGGAGTAGCAAACTAAGATGAACCAAGTACTTCTTCGGGGTCCAACGCCATGAAATCTCCAGTAGGGTCCCTGCCTCATGGATGGCCGTGCGGTCGCCTTCCTCCATCTTGTCGAACTCGTCGATGCAGCATACCCCCATATCCGCCAACACCAAGGAGCCGCCCTCCAGAGTAACCTGCGCAAAGCACCAAGCCATCCAGAAGGACAGGTGTTTGTTTTCTGGCTGCTGACTCGTGTTGCCTTTGGGCATCAAAAAATGTGCTTGGGGTCTTGAAAGCTAAATTGCAAGCTGGGGAGGCGCGGTGCGTGACAGGCTGGATGCATCTTTTGACGCGCGGTCATGTGGCTGTACGGCGCCAAAACCAACACGTAGGGTCGATGCATTCCAAGTCGATTGACTGATCGAATTCTAGGGACAAGGCAGTGCTCATGCAAAAAACCTGCTCGCAACCACCACCTGTCCATGGCCCATTCCGCCTCGCCGGTACGATTGTCCCGGTTCACTGTGGCGGTGAGGCCCACGCCCGTGGAGCCCTTGCCGGTGGTGTACACGGACCTATCACAGTGGCCAGCGCATTGTTCAGAGAAAGTCGCGAATTACGCAATGGGACTGCAATCTTCTTAAAATTCGCCTTCACCTTCACTCCGGCCTCGGTGGATTGCTGCTTATGAAGGGTTTACACCAGTTCCAGAAGTGTTCCCACCCTCCCTCTCCCCCTCCCAAGCAAAGATAAATCCCCACCGGAGGATTTTTTACGGATAATCTTGGCTGTGTCTTGCGCATGAAGGGCTCATCGCCCAGCTCCGGCCTCGGAGCGATGGCGCAGACCTGCTTCAGGAGCTGGGACTTGGCCACCCCGGGATCGCCCATCATCAGGGTGTGGATGTCCCCACGGATCTTCAGGCCATCCTGAAAGCTATCTCTTGGAGTTGCCCTTCCTCACAACATGGATGGCACCTGTGGGAGGTTCCTGGAAGATCAGTTTCAGAACCCGCTGTCAGGTGCGAAGTTCGTGGGAGGGAGGGAGGGAGGGAGGGAGGGAGAGAGAGAGAGAGAGAGAGAGAGAGATAGAGAGAGAGAGAGAGGGAGAGAGAGGGAGAGAGCAGCCCCTGTTGCGATCGTGTGGGCATGTCCCTGTGGAGGGTGTGTTTCAGCTACAGGTCTTGGCTTTCCCGGCTTAAAGTTGGGCATGGCAAGTGCAAATGTTTGCCTGGAGTTGGCTGGGACCGCTGGCTGTCGGTGATGGAACCTGTATGAACACCGCATCGCAGGTTTTGCAGCACAGCAACAACCTGCAAGCCTGTCCTGCATCTTCTTGGTGTAGGAGCCGATGAGCACAAGCAAAAGAGCCTTCTTCACGTCCTGGGCAATGCTGGGCTGTTGCATTTGGTATGTGTGGCTTGTCCTTGCACTGAGTCTTCGCAAAACACAGGTCCCCAGGTGGTCTCAAGGACTATCCAAAAATCAACATGTACTGCCACATTCATCCCGGACATTAAGTTTTGACCTAGCGATTCATGGCAACTAATCCCAGCATGTCATCGCTTTGCCTGTCTAGGTTTGCCCGCGAAGTGCCAAAATTGATAAAATAACAGAGTTTCTGGCGTTTGGGTGCTTGACATGCGCATCAACTTTGGCAAACATTATTCAAACAATATGCAAGACTACGAGAGTATGCTTGCTGGAACGCCATTAGATAGATGGCCTGTCCAATGGTAGCGAAGTTCATGCTATAGCAAGCCCTGCAATGCCATCAGGGAAAACAAACAATAAAGTACATTATGAATCACAATCAGAGAGAGGGAGAGTGAGAGAGAGAGTGAGTCTTACAAACTAAGCCTCAAATAAGCAGAGATAGCTGACGATAACCCAATCTCGCAAACAATCATGCTGCTTCTCCACACAAGAACTCGGCACATGAATCAAGCAAACACGGGCAACAATGACTAAACGCGAGTGCCTGTTTGTGCCATTGGGCGCACAACAGGGCTCGCCTCCCCTGCTGTTCGCTGGGGAGCTAGGTGATCTAAATTCTTCTGGTTGCTTTCTGTCCCCTTCCCCTCCCCACGCCCTCCCCGGTCTCCCCCGTCCTGATGGCCAAAAATTTCTGGGGCAATGGACAATGCTGCAGCCTCGTAGAGGCTTCCCTTCCTGCGCGCCTCGTTGATCCTGAGCCAAGGCCAGCGTGCGGGCGCCGGGCATTGAGCTGAACTTGAACACTTCTCAGGTCCACTTCTCACGCTTGTCGCCCACATGCTGCTTTCTTATATTACTCTATACGGCCTGTTGCATAACTGAGTTGCTGAAACGGCTAGCAACGCAGGGGTAGCCTGGCCCAGCCTAAATTCTGTCCGCAATGGTGCAAGTTTGTGGCACTAGGTCTGGCAATTTTGACCGCATGAGCAAAAAACCACAGCCAAAGCCATCACAATGCTTCTTGCTCCTCCCTAAGCAAGCGGGAGGAACCCTGCGATGACTTTTGAGCCCGGAGAAAGACACACATCTATGGGATATCAAGGGTCTTGTGCTCCATGATGTCCTCCTCGGAAGTGGACTCCGCGTATCCCTTCTTATGCTTCTGGATGTAGTGCGCCTCGATGAACATCGACTGCGTGGTGGGCGAGCTCATCCTCATCTTCATGAAGTAGGGCAGGGTGTGAGGAAAATAGACCTCACGTGGCCGATATGCACACCTAGACCATGCAAGACCTTGCCGTACGTGACACGCCCCAGGCCCAAAAGAAACCTGGGGCCACGTGCAAAAACCAGCTACCTTCTTATTTGGCTGTGGGTCAAAACCAATGGTACCATTTTGGGGTAGGTGCACCACCCATTTTAGTCTATTTAGCGGGGATTCACTGGGGGTATGGGATTTTGACGCACGGCCATTTCAGCCAAGCAACACCTGTCAGGGTGATGGCATCGCCGGGCAGCACTTGGCGCGTGAGGTCCCCCTCGACCAGCACCGTCAGATTCCGGGGCACGCCGCCCTGCGGAACGTGCTCGGACATCTCCTGGACCTTCATCTCCTGGCATGCGGCCAGCGCCGTGAACCAGCTGCTGCCACCAGCTGCCACAATGAAACTATGCGCAAAACCCGACATCCCTCGCTCGTCCTGGTGCTTCGTAAAGGCGCAGGTGCGGATGTTGCAGCGCAGGTGGCCTCAGGGTGAACCAAGCCTCGCGCAAACCTTCATTCCACCCTCCCCCCAAGGGCCAAGGCCAAACCTGATTGCCAAATAACAAGAACCGCAAGATGGCGCCTGTCTGCTTGTTGTCCTTGCACTTCTGGCTGGGACATTCCTTGGGCGGGGTGTAGCCCTCCCCTTCCACTGACTGGAAGATCTCTGAGCCGCACATCTCGCAGTGATAGGTCACCACCTCTACCTTCGGCTTCACCTCGCAGGGCGAATGCTTGCTTGAGGCCTATGTTTAACTTTGTGAGAATGAGGTTCTCCTTGTGGCGGGGCTTGTCCAAGGGATGTACCCTTAGACACTCCGAAATCACCCAAAATCCAGGCATACGCAGCTAATCGAGTCTGCTCAAAATGTGGAGCACGTTGTCTTGAGGCTGATCCTTGCACGCCTTTGCGACAAGCCGGCACAGGCTGACATGATTTGATTGGGTTGATTGACATGGTTTCTCTGAATGGCAGAAAATCATAGGGCTTGTATGGGCTTGTAACCGCGTTCCGCTTTCCGCTAGACATGACAGGCTGCAAGCAAACCCCCCCCTTGACGCCCTGGCCTGGGACATGTTCACCACCAGGCAGTCCAGCTGCATCAAGGAGCCCACCTTCTCCGCATTGATCTGGCGGAGGGTGAGGCTCTGGCCATTGGCTCGGGGCTTGAAGCGGATGTCCCAAGGGTTCTTAAGCTTGGCCGGCACCCCGGACTCCTTTGGCAGGGCCCCGCCAGCCTGCTCCTGGCTTTTGGAAAAAAGTGCAAAGCAACCGACCGACCGACCAACCGAAAGGGCTGACCAACCGGCCAACCGTCCAACCAACTAACCCCACGGGTCGCGGGCACTGCTTGTCCTGCTGCTTGGCAAGGCGCTCGCGCCAGCACTGGACAGCGTCGCGGGCACGCGCGGGACCCTCCGCTCGGTAGCCCTCGTCCCGGGCAGGCTGCTCTTGGTCGCAGGCCTGGTGTGGAGGGTTATCGGCGTTATCGGGCATCTCATACTTCTACCCCAGTAAGGACGGCCGGATGTCAACCCATCACCCGGGCACAAGAAACTCCAGTATGCAAAATCAGCCCAGACTCGCCTCATAGAAGAACCACTGGTAACGGCTCACGTTGCCTTCAATGGAGCTGACAAAGCTCTCGATGGACTGCTGCATCTTCAGATTCAGGGCCTGGGACATGTCCGCGTCCTTCAGCTCCCGGCGGCAGAACTGCTCCACGTCCTCCAGATCGATCACCACCTCGGCAACTGACCCCTTCAAGGCCTCCCGGTGCCAGATTGCATTGGTCCCTCTCTCCCTGCCATCCACAAACGACTCGCGCTTTCAGATCTTTCAGACTGGGCGTTTATGCAGCAGGGCCGCAGTGCCCACGCGGTTGTTCACGGCCTGCTGAAGCATTGCCTGGTACCTGGGTTCAAGGACTGGCTGCTCACAAAAAAAAGTGCAGGAAAAAGTGCGGACTCCGCGCGTCGGACTCATCAACTCATCCGTCCGTGCGGGAAATCTTGCAGCACCAGGGGTGCTCTCCACACGGTGTGGACTCTTTTCAATGGATGGCCCTCAATGCCTTCTGATGGCTTCTTCTTGCAAGGGCCAGGCACTTGCGCTTCCCGTACTTGACATCGTTGCAGAGATCGCTCTCGAACTCGCGGATGAACTTCTTGATGAGGGTTTTGTGGTCCGATGTGCTCCCGCAAACTTCCCTCGCCTCGCAGGTGGGTCAGCTCAAGCCATCCCTTCACCCAGCGTGGCTAACCTATGTAAGCCAAGTTGGAACAATAGCCTCCATCTGGGCATGTACTCAGGACAACACTGAGCGGAAACCTCAAATCCATTTGGGTGCGGATTTATTTTGGGATATTTTGTCTGTTGTTTTTGGTTTTTTTTTGCTTTTCGTCCGGGCCAGTAAAATGTCGTATTTTACAGCATTTCTCGCAAATTGATGCATTTTACACTAGCCCGCCAACATCCCTAGCATCGTTTTCAACATCCCCCGCATGTCCGACCAACATCCCTAGCATCACCAACAAATCGTAGGTAACAGAATCAAACAAGTAGCTGGCGGGTTGACGGGTTCAAAAAAATGATGGTTCAATAGGAGGGCATTTCAATCCCTGTAACAACAAAAGTGGCGGGGGGGTTGGGGGGGGTGGCAGCCCCCCCCATGATGTTCGCAGAAGTGATGATTTGAATAGCTCTGCAAAAAGTCTAAAAAGTAGCGGGGGGGTTGGGGGCCCCCCATGATGTTCAAAGAAGTGATGATTCAAATAGGGGTGCAATTAATAATTAAATCTCTGGTAGAAAATCTAAAACTTAGCGGGGGGGTTGGGGGGGCGGCAGCCCCCCCCATGATGTTCGAAGAAGTGATGATTCAAGTAGGGGTGCAATGATTCACGAACGGGTGCGATAGAATTTAAAAGGCAGCGGGAGGGTTGGCGGGGGTGGCTTCCCCTATGATGTTCGAAGAAGTGCATACATACAGACATACATGGATTACATAGTCGTATTTTACAGCATTTTCTCGCGAAATTGGACGCTCGAAAGAGTGATGATTCAAATAGGGGTGCAATTAAATCTCTGCAAGAAATCTAAAAAGTAGCGGGGGGTTGGGGGGGATGATGTTTGAAGAAGTGTTGATTCAAATAGGGGTGCAATGATTCACGAACGGGTGCGATAGAATTTAAAAGGCAGCGGGAGGGTTGGCGGGGGTGGCTTCCCCTATGATGTTCGAAGAAGTGCATACATACAGACATACATGGATTACATAGTCGTATTTTACAGCATTTTCTCGCGAAATTGGACGCTCGAAAAAGTGATGATTCAAATAGGGGTGCAATTAAATCTCTGCAAGAAATCTAAAAAGTAGCGGGGGGTTGGGGGGGATGATGTTTGAAGAAGTGTTGATTCAAATAGGGGTGCAATTACTCTACAAACAATCTAAAAAGTAGAAGGTGGGTGGGGGGGAGCCCCCCCCATGATGATCGAAGAAGTGATGATTCAAACAGGGAGAAAACTGGTGATGCTGATGATGCGGGAAGCCAAATCCAAAAAACCAATGAAAAGGTGCAAAAGCCAAACGCCCGGAGAGGAACTGGGAAGCAGAGGATGCGAAAAGCTGCATAAACCAGCGAAAAGCCGAGGAACTGGCAATGCAGCCAAAAAGCCACCAAAAGCCGCATAAACCAACAAGAAGCCGAAAAGCCAAGAAGCCGAGAAGCCAAAAACCCAAGAAGCCAAGAAGCCAAAAAGCCAAAAGCGGAAGAAAAAAAAGAAAAGAAGAAAAAAACGCGGAAAAAAACACCTAAAATAAATACCCCTCCAATCCATTTTGACAATGCCTCTGAAACTCATGATTCACAATGTTGGGAAAAATGAAATACTCTGGCTCTGGAGGATGCTCCCTGAAACAATGGCACTTCACAAAGCAAAGTCTTCTGGCACGGACTGAGCCACACTGAGTCCAAGCCATGATCACGTGTGAAGAGTGGGATACAGCTCAAATTGCCAATTGGTTGAATTCTGGTGCACAGTGCGTTGCGCTTGAGACCAGCCAAGTATGCCCTAACATGCGGTAGTGCAACACATGCACAAAAAGAAAGAAACAAGGCTGCACCAATCAACAATCAGGTTCGACATCCACCAAAAAAACAGCCTGGCCAAGAAAAACAAATCTGCATGTTGTGGATTCCCAAACCCCGCCTGCAACAACGCAGTCTTGGCAATGCTCTCCTTGACGCTGGCCATGCTTAGGCAACCTCAGCGTGCGCCACGCAGACTTTCCGCTACCCAACCAGCATGGCAAGACCCAGTTCATTGCTTGCAAGGGCAAAGCCAACCACCTTATCAAAGCTCCACCAAGGGGCTAGGAGCAGTGACTTGCTCGGCTGGGCTTGGGCCTGAATGCTTCTGGCTGCCTGGCAGTCAACCTGGTCGAGTTCCAATATCCTCATGCCCTTGTGCCTTGCTGATGTGTGTGAGAGAGAGAGAGAGACAAAAGCTTTGCTGAGCCCTGCTCGAATGGAACGTTCTGACCTACTTGTTGCCTGGGCTGATGGTCGAGGAACTGACAAGACTGACGTCAACCCCTTCGTGTCAAAACCGAAGCTTAGTGAGCAATGGAGTTGTGCATGTGTCCAATGCTTGCTTTTTTTGTTGTCTCGTGAACTTCCATTGAACAAACACATGCACGTGCATCGCTAGCAGGAATGCCCGTTCTCTGCACCTGTCGGCTTCGGAAGGCGCGTAGAAAGCAGCGCTGGGACCTCACAGGAAGGCTTTACTGTTAGGTGGCCATTGTTAGCGATCTTGGAACTTGGCAGGCATGATGGGATGACCGTGCTAGCAACAGTCCTCAAACAAGTTCACCATCGTGCAGTGGTCAACCTGCCTGAGCCTAGGAGCTTCATAGGGGGCGTGGTAAGCAGCGAAAATCAAAATCTCATGGCCCACTTGCAGCAGCTTGGATGCGGGCAACAGCTGGGTTCATGTAGATCTTGTCGCCAGGAGCGACCTGCTTTCCAGCCGCGGTGTGCTTAGGTCGTCGATTTGATCAATCCCAATGCCCATCATGACCTTCAGCGTCACCCCAATGCTGGGTCCAATTGCTTCACCCAAGGGAAGCGGCATTGCAAATTGCAATCTCAGCTCTGAGGCACTGAGGCGCCATGCCAAGAAGCCCTCCTGACAAGCTTGGCAAGTTCCACGCTTTGGAGGAAGAGGGGAGGAGGGTGGAGGGAGTGCTTTACGTCTAGAGTCTATCGGTTGGCACCTCACGAGACGTTGGGTTGCCGTGATAGCTTTGCAAAGGATTCGCGCTCAGCTCCGAATGAAGCCAGTCAAACTGTGAGACTTCTGGAATTGAGACGGTGGGGCTATGAATGTGACTCCATATGGTTCACTGATGTTGGAGGCCTTTATATACTCGCTGAGTGGGAAGGACCTTTGTATCGTTTCTTGCCATCACACCCGATGTTCGGAACAAGCGCCAACAAACAGCTGCCAAGCGCGCCATACCGCGCCCTCCTGCTTCAGCTGCTGGCAAATCTGCCTTGCTTCCCGCAGCTTTCCGCAGGCGCCCATGTGATGCCGAAGCACGGCCGCCTCCGCCTGCAAAGCCATGCCAGTCCAGCTTACGTCCCAAGCTTCCTGGACACCTGTTTTCCTTCAGGGGTCGGGTTCCCTATCGGACAGGTTTCGAGGCATTTCTCTGGGTGCCGACAAAAAGGCACGGCCTGCTCATCCCTCTGAGGCACTTTGGTGTCTACTCTGTTCTTAGTTTCTGCTATTGTGCTGCAAGTCCTGGGTCGGCATTTCCTTTGGGGCTAAAGAACCTACCTGAGCCGCTGCAAGCAGCGGCGATGACCCAGCCCCCGCGCCTGTCCACCCGGCGTCGTGGGTGTTGGCGGGATCTGGCCACCATTCGCCCGGCACCCCATCCCCTTGGCTTCATAGTCTTGGGCTTACAAGAAAGAAACCGAAGAAACCTACCAATTTACCACCCAACCCTGGTTTGCACTCCCCCCCGCCCCGCCCAGCAAACTACCCCCAAACCCAAACCCGCCCACCCCCCCCCCCCCCCCAAAACCGTCATCCCGCGTGGTTTAGCGCGAACCACCCGATGGAATGTCCCCCGCTTTCCCTCCCCCGGCCGTGGCGAGGATCTCCTGCAGCGCTTGGCCGCAGGCGGCGAAGCGGCCCAGCAGCTGCAAAGCCTCACCTGCGCTGAAGAAACGTCATCGGTTGACTCAGTTGTTCAGTGGCACCCTTTTTTTCCTTTTTGTTGGTGGCTGCCCCACTAAAAATGGTCTTCCCCAGAAAGGGCTCCCTGTTTTTCCAGGGTCACTGAACAACTGAGTCAACCGATGTGTTGGGCTTTCAGCGTTTTCCCCGGTTGAAACCTCTCTGGGCTGGCGAAGAAAAGCATGTCACATTCCGGAGCCGTTGGCAGCATGGCAATGGAAGTGCTAGGCGCTGCGAGGTCTTCTTTTCAACTGAGGGTTTGGGGGTGCCGTAGTTGTTCCTTGTGAATTCCATGTCCAAATTGGAACAGGCATATCAGAGGCATCGGCGCCTGAAGCCTTCACGGTAATGCTGTTCGCAACGCTTGGCGAAGTCTCCCGGTGCCGTGCCCACAGAAACATGCTGCAAAGTCGTGGCGTTGGCAAGCTTGGTTGCAAAGGCGGCGATGTAGCTGGGGGTACGCTAGGCATGGCGGCATCGACGAAGAAAAAACAGTGTTCTTGAGGATTGGTAGCGGATGGTGGCCAACATGCGGGCCATGGAACTGCGGGGAGGGTAAACTCAAATAGAACGTCCTTGGGTGAATCCCTTGAGCGTACTCGCACTTTCCAAAGCAGGTTGCCAACGCTTAGTCCCACGCCTCACTAAATTCATATACCAATGGACCCAGGTGGAAAGCTTGTCGAAGATGCCCCCAGCGCGCCAAAAGTCAGCATGCGAGGCACACGCATGGCTCCTGCCTTTGGCGTCAGGGAGTGTGGCCATGGCTCACAGGTCAAGGGCACATGTGCAGCAAATTCCGCGTATAAGACTTGATTTGCAAACGGTTAAATGAACAAACACTGGGAAGCTGATTTTGGAAGGTCGGCACAGAACCTGTTGCCCGGTGAATCTGTTGAAGATGCGTGAATATGCATTTATAAGTACATATATACATACAGATGTAGATTTAGTACACATATACAATGCTCCAGATCTGATCGGGGTATAGCCTGGTAGGCGCATGCTGGACCAAGCGTGCTTGGGCGACCTCATTTGCGTCGGCAGGATGTTGGCCCGCTATGGCAGCTGCCAATGGTCATGGGCGAGTAGACAAAGTATGTGACAAATCATCAAGCATGCACAAGCACACGCACACGCACGCACGCACGCGCACACACACACACACACACACACAGCCGCACCACACAAAACACAGGTCGAACAAATAAAGCTATTCATGTTTCTACATACAATATCGTGTTATCTGATCTGATCTTATCTAGCCTAATCTTGTCTTATCTGATATCTTCTTATCTTATCTTATCTTATCTTGTCCTATCTATCTATCTATCTATCTAATCCAATCCAATCCAATCCGATCCAATCCAATCCATCTCTTTCTCTCTCATTCGCTCACAGCCGGCCGTCACTTCAGTTGCATTTTTTGGGACTATCAGTCATGGCATGGGGTCTTTGCCACCTCCAGCAGTGTAGTCAGACACGAGCTTCCTGGGCAACGCCGTGCAATGCCAGCCATCAAATTACAGGACGAAAGGAAGGAAGTGCAGGGAACGTTGCCCGGAAAAACTACCTCCGCTCTATTCTGCCTTTCAAGCAATCGGTGCTAACTTCAGGTTGGGCCAAGACACTTCAGCTTTGGGGCGATGAGCTTCTTGTCCTCCTTGCTGATGTGGTCTATGTACACAATCCCCTCGGGATCGCAAACTGGCCCGACATGCAACAGTTCAACGCAAACATCCAATTCTGCGAGTTTCCGCAGTGCGACAAACCTCTCAACTTTGCCGCAATGCAATCTCAACTAGCCGAATGGCGTCCAGGTGGTCGTACTCGTGTTGGAAGAGTCGCGATTGCCAACCTTAAGGCCCAAGCAAAGGTCCAAGGATCCCAAGGCATCAACATGATGAATTCCCCTTGCTCCAGTAAAGCGCAACTCGGGAAAATACAAAAGGACAAAAGGACAACCCGTAACGTGCTAAGGCCGCCAGGCAGCCGTCCAATCGTTTTTTGTACCTCGGTCGCGCGCCTTGTTCCATAAGCACTCTGTCAGTGTGGCGAACATCCCAGGGTCCCGTTATAATAGATGTGTGGTTTAGCATAGGCAAATGTAATGTGATAATTTCCATCCCGACTCCTTGACAACACGAAGGGTCATCCACGAGATGCGCCACCCCATGACAGGCTGACACATGCACAGGCACAAACAAAGCGATCCAACATCGCACATACGCGAGCGAACTCTCTCCTGTCAAGGCACGGGTTACCATCGAGGTCCACTGCCTCTACCTTGCAGTGCTCAAACAAACTCAAGCATGCACACTCGCAGCGATCTCAAGCATCTGCTGCAAGTGGGTGCAAGTGCTTGTGTGCGTCTCTGTCGATTGCCAAGTTTGTTTCAACAGCCTCCCGAGACGTCCAAAACCGAGCGAGCTCACCAGAGCAGCAAGTCCTCAGCCCCTAAAGTTGCCTGTGCAGCTTTGGCAATCACACACCAAAAACTCGTTGGCTCGGATGCACCACTGCTAGCCCAATGCGCTATGTAAATCTGCGCGTTCGACTGTGCTCTCGCCCGGCTACCCGTTCCACTGTGCCACACGGGCAATTCGGAAAATTAGCTGGGCACAACTGTACCAAGATGTGCGCAAACGAATGCACAGCATGCATTTGCCTGCCAGCATGTCAGTAGTCACTGCTAAAACTTTGGAAAGAACAGCTGTGCAATGAGCACCATTTACATCTGTTGAACGTACTACGTATTTGAATCAACGCGGAAAGCGTCTTTAATGGCCCCTTCTTGTGTCCCATCATGACCTGCAAGCAGCTACCCTTATAAGTTGCTTTGCCTTGCCCAGGTATGCCCCTTTGAGGCAGGAGCTACTTGCCACGATTGAAAATACATGTTTCCTTGAACCTGAGTGCTCTCTCCTAAAGCGCACGCACACGCGGGGATTGGGCAAGCCCCCGATTTGTCCTACAAGCAAGCTTTGAACGATAGCGTGTACACTATTGCTACTGATGCACATGCGCGTGCGCAGGCGATGCTGCGGGTGCGCGCCTGTGCGCGGTGCGCGAAACGCGGCGCTGGCCTCAATCCATGTGGGTCTCACCACCGCGGCGCTGAAGCCAGGAAAGGAGAGGCATCCTTCCATCTCCTCACGACTCAACAAAATCTACATAACCTTTCCTCCAACATGAAACACACGGCAGCAACAATGTGCATTCAATGCCTCATATGGCACTGGACTCTTGCTTGGCATCCATCACTATCCCGGATAGTCCTCAATTGTCTCGTCCGCGCACTCAGTGATCCGTGGATTTACAAAAACGGTTTCACCTGGCGCTGTCTTTGCGTGAGGCATTACTGAGCGCACCAGCCTCAAGCCTCTTGCTTTCATGGCCATCACTCCTTGCAACTGCAGGGACCCGGTGGCCATTGCGATGGGCCTGCCTGCAGGGTCTATGCCCTCCTCGCTGCGCAGGTGGTTGTATACCATCACCTCAAAGGCCAAGCTCCGAAACAGCCTTTGGCAAGCTAGCCCTACGCCAAGCGATGACTGCTTGTGCATCGCAATCGCAACGCCATTCCCCTCTCAGTACAAGAGCAAAACAGCTTTTAGTTGTAATGTTAGATAGCGGATAGCGATTAGTGTAAGGGGATTGAATACAGAAAAACAATCTCAACATTATTCACTCTCCTGAAAAGCAAAAAGGGTGGGTATTACAGGAAAAAAACTGCCCGAAATCCCGCAAAGATGTTCCCTTCCAAGAATGCTATTTTTGAGGGTTGAAACGATTGAGTCCAATGCCACGCTCCTCCCAGTCCCAGCAGCTCCCCACGCTCCAAAGTCTCCACACCACACCGCTACCAACCTGACCACTTGCCCTGCAGTTTGCTTAAGGGTGGGGAATTGTGAAAAAAATTGGCCAGGGCAGCCTGCCAAGAAGAAAGCCCCGCTGTTCTCAGGTGCAGCAAGAAATGTCCAGAATCTCTGGATTGCTGCCTGTCCCAAACCACCAAATTCCACCCCTTTGCTAGAAGATGCACCCGGACAAATTTTCAAGGGGGTGGCACACGGAACCCCCAGGAGGCAATAATGCAGTTTGTTTAAGGGTAGGGAATTGTGAAAAAAAATGGCCAGGGCAGCCTGCCAAGAAGAAAGCCCCGCTGTTCTCAGGTAAAGCCAGAAATGTCCAGAATGTCTGGATTGCTTCCTGTCGCAAACCACCAAATTCCTTATCAATCCCTTTACTAGAAGATGCACCCTGACAAATTTTCAAGGGGGTGGCACGCGGAACCCACATGAAGGCAACAATGCAGCTTGTTTCAGGGTAGGCAATTGTGAAACAAATCAGGAGATGGGATATCAAAGGAATACTGAACCAATACTAAACCAATTCTAAACTGTAGTAAGTCAACTGAAAAGAATACTGAACTAATACTAAACCAATTCTAAACCGTAGTGAGCCAGCTCAAAGGAATACCAAAACCAATACTAAACCAATTCTAAACAATACTTGTTGGAAGACTACTCAGGCAGGTCCCAGTCTGACCCCCATTTTGTTTTTGGGGTTTTCGCTATTGACCCCCCCCAATTTGTTTGAGGGGGGGCCCTTTACTAATCACTCTCCAACATTACCACGCAAACCCTCGACAAGGCTACACGCTCACCCAAGTGAAGCATCCAGGATCCCAGAACGGAATGACCTTTCCAAACTGACTCCTTCCATTACCAAATGTCCCGCAAGCCATGCCCTTTTCAGCAAGGGAACAAAGGACATGACAAAATTTATGAACATTGCCTTCACAATAGTGCTGTGTCACGAGTAAGTCTTGCAACCCACAGGGTGAGTTACCATGATGTAACTCGCCCAAACGCCCTCTTGCCCGAGGCGCCCGGAGATTAACCCCGCACTGTGGGGCTGCCAGACCGACCCCAGGAGGATCCTCTGACTCGTACATGGTGCGGAAGAGGTTCTCCGACCTCAATGGCAGTGAGCGATATCTAGGAACCCTTGCTGAAACACCCTACCTAGCAGAACAGTGAATGACTCAACCCAAGTGATCTGGTGGTTGCAATGGCGAAAGCGCTTGTGGCCGGGTTGCAGCTGCCGCAACGAGTCGCCAAAGTCAGTCCTCAGCCATGGAAAGGAATCACCCAATGGGCCAGAAAGACTCAAAATGGTGTAAGCCCCAACTTCGCTGCTAATGATCCCAAGTCAACAAAATTTGCACTGCAAGAGAAGGGGCTTGAGATAGCAGTGCAGTGCTGAAGCAGTTGAAAGCCATGAGTTACAACCAGCTGCGAGCACGTGAATTGAAATGGTTCAGAGGCTCAAGGAATCGTGCCCAATACCGCGTCTAACACATGCTTTGTCAATTTGGCGGATGTGGCCTGCGCTGTGAAGCTGGCCTTTCTGCAGAGTGGTGCGACCAATCTAACATCTGTGGATCTGACTGGGCCTGACTTGCTGACCGGATTTGCCAGCCCTGCGCCAAACTAAGTGTCAAGGACTAAATTGAATGAACTTACTACCCGACAAGCCCCCAAAAAATGTGGCCGTGGGTCAAAAATAGGTGCCCGAAATGGAACCCTGGTAAATGGAAGCATGGACTAGAACCTGATGTCCCCTGGCGATTGAATTGACCCATACCCATGTAAGTCTCCGTAAGTCGCTGCGAAAATGTCCAGAGCGCGTCCAAGAATCACCTCCGCATTGGGCCGCCGCAGCGCTGGATGCGGGTACTTCACAATCTCCTGAGTTGAGGCGTGGGCTGGGCTTGAAAGGAGCCGCTGGGCTTTAAGAAAGAGAAGAAAAAAAATGGAAAAAAAAGAAGAAAAAAAAAACAGCTTCCCCAAGCTGGGCCTTTCAAGTATTGTGCATGCCCGCATGTTCCTGCAGTGTCCTCCACACATGCTCACCTAGTGCGACTCAAACACTATAATCACAATCAAACATTAGAGGCCGCAAGTTGCGGATGGTTCCGAAAAACCAGCCAAGCCTCTTCGGCAAGTTGCCCAACCCCCCCTCCGCCCCCCGCCCCCCCCTTCCCTCCAAGACCCTCTGACGGTCAAGGCGCAAGAGCCTTGGGACCGCCGGCAAAATCTTCGGCAGGTTTGTCGGACCTTGCCAGCTCTGTCTATTGCACCTTCGAATCGCACTCGTCTCCTAGGGTTTACCGACGGCCAACACTTAATTGGTGCGGCCAGGTGGGCGGGATATCTTGGTTTTTGCGCCGTGTCCCTCCCAGCCAGGATCACAATGTTGTTTCATTGGCTCAAGACCTGGCCGTACTGCAAAGGGCCTAAACTGGGCACGGCGAGGTGATTGCTCCATTGGCATTTGCTGGTACTAGCATCTTAATCTTACATGTTGATGAACCCCAAACATCTGGCCTTTGGTTCCCATCGGCAGTTGCACGCCATGGGTCAATGTCAAGACCGTCCATTGGACGGGCGGAATGGATGCTACACATCAGTGCGTCTCTACCCTGTACCGCCGCTTGCTTTGTTGCCGTTTCGGAAATGCGTCCAACATGGGATTTAGCCCCACAAACATCCACAAACTGAAGGTCAATCTCCCAAAAGCATGAACGCCAACCAACATTGAGCTCTCATTCTCGCGAACATGTTGGCCAAAAGTTCATAACAGAGTCATCGACAGTATGGTGGAGCAACTGTGGAAGGTAGCAGCAGCAGCAACGTCCAAGCAGCACTCCTTCAAGATGGCAGGTGTCACCCTGAGCCCTGGGAAAATTCTGGCCGGCAATGGCCGTGGCCAGTCGCTGGCAGTCCGAGCCACACCTTCGACATGTTGAAGCCGAGCCCTGACGGGCGCTTCCTGGTTTTGGCTCTCCTTGGCTCCAATCAGGAAACTCCCTCCATGCTCAAGCCGCGAAAGGCGCCGTTGCGATCCCATCCCAATCCAAAAGACAAACCATTCATCCAATGCTGGATCCCGGGGCTTGAAGCATTGAACGTGCGATCGCTTTGCAATCCAGAAAGCTCCGGCAGTCTGCGCAACCCAAGCGTCGCTCTTGCTGCAAGCGCTACAGCAGAGAGGCAGCCGGCGCTGGACCTGCTGTGCTTCAGAGCTTTCTCGGGGAACAGTCTTGCAACTTTTCAAGATGAAACAGGCGCTTTTCGGCTTCCCACCAATGGTTTGGATTGGTACGGGTGGTTTCCCAGGGGTTCAAATCCCCAAACAATTAATTGAAGCACTAATGAGGGGTGAGCTTGGCTAAGGAGTTGATAAAAGGCCAGTCTTGCACGAGGCAGCCTGTCAGTATCTAAAATGCGCAACACCAGAAGGAAGGGTACACATCCTTGCAAGCAATCAGTTTTTCGTGCCACGTGCCTGCCTGAAGCTGGTACACGGGCCAGCCAATACCAAAAAACCACCCAGGCTCGATGAGAACGTGTAATCAAGACATCCCCCCTTTGCCAAGGCCTCCAGTGACTCCAGTGGAGTGGTGCAGCAAGCGAACTCCTGCGCACGTGCTCGTCTGCATGACTCCCCTCAAGCAGATACATGAATGCAGTCTGCCCAAAGCATGTTTTGCAGCTGGCACAGCGCTGCAAAGCGCGTCCTGGGCCTGGGCGTACCCCTGCCCGATGGCCCTGCCGGACGTCATTGGCTTGACGGCTAAGCGTTCATGTCCAGAAAGATGCGTTGCACCTGCCCTTCTTTTTTGCAAGAGCAACTTACGGACCAGACCAGGCCATCAAAACATTTAACAAGGAGCTTTGCGAAGGTTGTCGGCCCCAGTTCCCAGTTACACGCTCAGCACCCGACTCAGCGGGCTGCTAATGCCCTTCCCAAGTGGCAGGACCTCAAGTCAACAACAGTCTTTCGCACGGCATCGGCTTGCCCCAAGGTCGGCACCAGCTCCATCGTTTGGGAGGCAGTAAGCACTTGAGCCAAATATTAAGCTTCCACGCACCTCCAACTCCTCCGCAACGGTTCCAGGCAACGTTGACCATCACCGGAGAGCCGCATCTGCAGCATTGCAGGCGTAAATGAACAAACAAAAACTTGCTCAGCCTCTTCCGATTGCTGTATACACAGCGGTGCGATACTCCAAATTGCCCAAGCTGACATGTCCCCTCGGCCGTATCTTTTCCACGCCGAGCTCCAGGTTGCAGTCTGGCTCCGCTGCGACTGTGCGCAGAGAACCTCTGTAGATCATTGGCGCGCCCATGAAGTCCTATGTCCAGCCACGTTCACAGCACCCGAGGGTATCACTTGCAACCCGTTGCAAATCCCAGGTGTCCCCGGGATCACTCCACCATAGCTCACATAACCCCTTAACAATTGGTGTGTGTGTGTGTGCGCGATAAATCAATGGACATGCTTTGCAATAGCCAACCCAACGTGAATCACGGATTGTCGGGCCCCGCAGTGGCTTGGGCCATCACTCGCCAGACCTCGGCAACGAACTGAAACCAGCTGGACTACACTTGAAGCCCAAGCTACCGTGAGAGAAAGAAACAGTGGGATCCCAGGCTTGCCTGTGTTCACCATGGTTTTTTTGCAGATTCTACTTTTCTTTGGAAGACGCACAGCCCACAGCAACAAGAGTCGCCCACAGGCTCTAGCCCAAAAGCCTAAGTCTTCGCCCAGAAGCTTCTTCTCCTTCTCCTTCTCCTTCTCCGCACTCTTGGAGCGCTCCTTGCTGCGGCTTCGGTCCCGTCGCCGGCTGCGGCTGCGGCGGCGGCTACGGCTCCGATCCCGGCGCCGGCTGCGGCTGCGGCGGTCCTAGGGCGAAGGCCAGCGAGCTTTCGGTATGTCAATGGTTGGGCCTGGTCGCTGGTCTCAACTTTGCTCTTGCCCATGCTACGTGCCAAGTCTCTGTCATGTTCAGCAAGCATGGGCAACAAACCGCGGCAAAATGCGACGACCCTCATCAAGCATGCCAAGCAGAACGAACGCCGGACAAGGAAAACCAAATACACGCTCTCAGTAGGGCTGCGCTCACCCGCCTGCCGGTTGTCGCCGCGATTGTCGCCGCGCTTTTCGCCGCGGTTGTCTCCACGGTTGTCTTCGCGGTTCTCGCGGCCCTGGCAAACTAGGGCGACTCTCTGCTGTGTGACCTAGCTGTGGGGAATTGGTTCGTTTCAGCGACACACTGGCAAGTCCGGATGGCTGCCTGGGAAGCAAAGTTTCAAAGGGCCTCCCAAAAACAAAACCAACGAATTATTGCTTCACACAAACGATGCACACACCAGAAACGCGCAGAATCACAAACCACCTGCCCACTCCGTGTTTATTCTTGGCGACGCATTGCCAAACCGTCTCCGCATGCCACTGCTCCCAAGTGCTCCCCAATTGGGCCTTGCCGCTGCCCTTTTCGCCGCCCTTCTGTGGACGCTCAGGCGGATCAGCTAAATTCTCGTTGTCAATGAGTGGCCGTGCGATCTTGCCTTGGCTTTCCGCATGCGCTCCCTGCTGCAAAAGGCCCGGCCAGTAGCCGTAGCCGTGGCAAGGCCACCTGCAAGCTCATGCAAGCTCTCTCATGCCGGCCGAGGTGCACAGCATGGACGATGGATTGGAGCAGTTGTCCAAGTGCTTCTTGATCTTCACCAGGATCTCGTCCTTGTCCTCCGCCCGCTTCTCGATGATCTCCCGGAGCTTGGACTTGGCATCATCGTCCAGGCGGTACCTCAAGGCTCGAGGCTTGCACCAGCCACCGGGTGGCTGAGGCCTTCCCGGGACAAGGGTGAAGGTCCCGTTTTCAAAAAGCTTATTTAAGATGGTGACGTGATTGTGAACAAGGCGAACCTGTGCTTCAATTGAGCATCCAAAGAGTAGTTGTGTTTTCCCCGAGGCAAAAAAACCAAGACGTTCATCACCGGTGCGTGCAATTTGGCCTTGACAAAATGCTGACCTGGAGGGCGCAAAGGCTTATCTGCCCAGGAGCTTGTCCATTACCCGCTCCGCCTCCGACAAATCCGGCAGCTCCTTCGAGGCAGGCGCGAAACAGGGCACAGCGCTTGCTTTCTTTGGCTGCCAGCTGAAGGCCAGGCTCACGACACTAAGAGGCTGCCCGGTCATTGCTTACTGCCTCGCTTTGCATGGCGGGGGCCTTCAGGGCAGTGAGCCCTGTTTCCATCTCGCCCCTGAACATTGCTTGCCACTCAAAGGTTCGAAGCCCTTCAGCTTGTCCACCCTTCCTCTCGGCCCCCCTCTCCTCCACCTCGCCCTCCAGCAGCTTACCCACCAGCAAAGTGGCCAGAGCATTGGCCCGCTTGCAATGCCGCAAGTGCTGCTCAATGGTGTTCAGGTCCTCGCGGTCGGAAAGAAGCGGCAAGCAGCCCCAGTCATTGCTTGGTCGTTGTCGGTTTAATGTGGTTGTTTCGGGGTCTCTCCTGTGTCAAGCCCGGAATGACCACTCTACGTTGCTCGACAGGGGAAGGCGAGCAACCAACAGATAGTGAGGTGGCCGTGCCTCTACATGAAACACAGGCACAGGAGTCAGGCAACTCCCACGTGACATCCGCAAATTCATTAGAACACTCACTGCCGAACAAGGCAAATCGGGGGGAAGCTCTGCTGGGGTGTGCCCGTCCTTGTGCATGCGGTCGATTTCCCCATCCTTCTTCCGCCGGTGGATCAGCTCGGTGAATCTGGAGGCTACCGGGTCATCCAACTTAAACTTCCGGGCCAGCCGCTCCACTTCTTTGTCGGGCTTAACCTGCCGGCACGTGCCCAATGCGGCCTTTCGAACCCCGCATGCCAGTCGTTTTGACCCACAGCCATGCGACTCTTTGAACCACCGCAAAAATGTACATGGTGGTTGCACCAACGGTTGCGGTGGACATCTGGCATTTAACAATGAAGTAGCGGACGCAGTGAGTAGAACGGCACACGGAAACTTAAGTCCCCCGTTGCCGGTACAAGCTGGTTCTTGTTAAACTGTGGGGTAAGGTCCTAAGGTAGCTTTCGGGTGCCAGACCTGCTTGCCGTATGCTACATTCTCAGCGAACGGAAAGATCGAAAGATGCTCTATCGTGGCCTCAAGTCAAAAGAGACACAACCGAAATTGTCCAATGAGAAGCCCAAGCCATGCCCTTGTGAAGCTCGACAACCTTGACGAAAACTCGAAGTTGTCCATCAAGGACCATTCAAGGACCCTTTTTAGAGCCGCCTTCCCAATGAAGCGGCCACTCTCCATCTCACCGATCTTGACCGTCAGAAGCCCAGTGGGGCTGCGGGCCCGCTCCAAGGTCTCGTACAACTTCTCCAAATCCTCCGCCTTGGTGTCCTGCCGCTTCAGCATGGTCTCGTTGAGTCTCTTGATCCACCGGTCCTCGATATTGAAATAGTCCTCGGTGCAAGGAAGGGAACGGGAAGGCGAACAAAAAGATCAGCGAATTGCCAGAGCAGTAAAGATTCCAAGGAAGGGGTGCCTTCAACGCGAAAAAAGTATCAGCGAATCGCGAGCAAAGCAAAGACTGTTACCAACAAATGCCGAGAGACACACAGCTCCTGGACTTCTGGATCAATGTCCTCGTCGGTTGGCTCTAGATGAGACGGCCTAACAGTCTCTTTCCGAATATTTTTCATGACCTCAGCGGCAATGGTGGTTCCGCGCTGCATGCCCTGCTGCATTTGCTGCATCTGCTGCATTTGCTGCATGCCCTGCATCATCATCATCATCATGGGGTTCATCATGGGGTTCATGCCCCCCATCATGCCCTGCATGCCTGGCATGCCACCTTGGCCGGACGGCGGCGTCATCATACCTGGCATGCCGCCTGGCATGCCGCCTGGCATGCCGCCTGGCATGCCGCCTGGCATGCCACCTGGCATGCCACCTGGCATGCCACCTGGCATGTTGCCCGGCATGTTGCCCGGCATGTTGCCCGGCATGCTGGGCATGCTACCCGGCGTGTTGCTTGGCATGCTCATCCCACCTGGCTGACCGCCAGCCATGCCCATCGGCGACATGCCTGGCAGGTAAGGGGCGTAGTCACCATAAACTTCCTGGGGACTTGGACTGCTGCAATGGATTTTATCGACCCTAGCAATTGCAACTCAGAATGCCTTCAGCCCTTTTCGTATCCCCAAGAAACCAAAGTCCACAATGCTCAAAGTCCACCTCAGGTCTACACTGCGAACCCATCTGGACGTACCCCCTCTTTGCCACACTTCTGCTCGGAGAGGTGGGCTGCCTCCCCTCACTACCTGGACCCTAAAAGCGCAAAAAGCCGCCGGCCGCGAAGCATCCGGACCTGCCTGGCATCCCGGACCCCGGCAGTGCCGGCAGTCCAGGGGCCATGGTGCTTGAGCCCAAAGGCTCTCTCAACCCTCCGGGCGAAATGGGATCTGAAGGTGAAGATGAAGACAGGGCCTCAGGCCTTTCTGGCTGGTGTCTCCGACCAGTATGGCTTTGCCAAAAGCAACTTGGAGCAGAAAACGAGCAGATCACGCTCAAATGCTCTGCAACGTGCCACGAGATGGCGCAGTATCTTGTCAGCCGTTTGTGATACACATAACCACCATCTACCAAGCCAAGCGATCACGTAGCATACTCGTTTTACCAACACGGCGGTAAGCTTGCAGAATGGTGTCCAAGCGGATGTCTCACTCTCAATGGGACTGCGGGATTGGGTTGCTACGCGCTCATGCCGTTTACATGTCAAGCACCCACTTGCGTAGAACAATTGCATGCAGGGCCCTGCTGGCTTGACAAGCAAAGAGAGCCAGACATGGCACTGGTCGAGATCCAACTCATGCAAATGGCTCGACATTTCTTCTGTATGAACGCACCCAGCGAAGACGTCAGCTGCACATCACGCTTTCTTTCAAGCCTTTTCTGGCGCTACAAGATCCCGGAGGCATAAGCCCAGGACCTCATGCATGTTCGCATGTCACGGTCTGATCTGAGGGGTCATACCTGATCCGGAAGCTGGCGCCAGGCTTGCCCTCGACCTTGGCGGCAAAAGGGCTGGAAGTGGAATGTATTGGCCTCCCTCCTGGTTGGCGGTTTGGATTCGTGGGTTGGGATTTGAACCTTTGGTTCTTGTAGATGGCACGTGGGAAGCCCCTCCTTAACCACCAAAGCACCAATCCAAACCACCATTCAGAGGGAAGCTGAATGTACCAGAAGCTCAGAATAACAAATGCAGGTTGATTTTGGAGCCCGAATGAAACATGGCCAGTGCCAGGGGGGCCCTCGCACGAATCAGCTAACAGGATGCAAAGGCGAACAAGCTATGATTAATCTGAATGAACTCATTCGCCGGAAAGCATTGCTAGTGCTATTTCTTGGAGAAGGGTTGCGTTTTCGCTGCCATCCGCAGCCTGCTTTTACCTCTCTGCAAAGAAGCAGCCCTAAGATCCAATGTGCCCATGGCGAGGCGCTGCCCAGTTCCGGCCATGGCCCGGGTTCTCCTCACTGCAGCGCTCCGCTGGAGAGGCACGGCCGGGCCTGGGGCGAAAATATCGGACAGGTCGCTTTCCCGCACGAGGAGTCAGGGTAATCCACCCTTTCAGAGTTCTTTGATGGATGTATCTGGTCAAGCAGAAATCTGAATGTTGCAGCTTGGTTCTCAAAGCACCCAGCAAACTTGAAGCCAGTCGTGCGACGATCTGCTGCTTAGCTACTGGTTGATTATTTTTGTTTTGCTGAACATTCGGTGACACAATGCGGGGACACATTCACAAGACCGTTGGAAACAGTGTTCTGTTGACTTAGCGTTGAGACTTGCCCAAAATGGATCCTGGCTGTGCAATGGGGTTTCGAGTTGAGTTCCAGTGGCGCATTCTGCTGTGCTAAGCATGGCTTCCAAACATCGACAAAAACTCCCACGCCACGGACAGGCCTGAGAGGCACCACAGTCTCATCCTTGCCACCACCGGGGAAGATGCGCTTCTCCCAGCCTCAGCTGAGAACAAACCCAGAGTAGCACAGCATACAAAACGAGTAGACGTGTGAATCAAAACGATGCGATCCAACAATCAACCAGCGGAGATCATGCAGAGGCCCGGCAAAGGAGGAAGCTTTCAGACGTCAACCCTCAGAATTTGCGGCCATGAAGAACAAATGTTCGGCATTGTCAGCTGGGCCGCTCCCATCCTGCAAGATCTGGAACCTTGGCGCGCCGGACACGGATCCTTCAAACAAATCTCCCTGGACAGTTTAGGCAGGACCGCCAAACAGCGAAGTCCCACTCAGCTGGGGCCCTCTCGGCACATAGGCCCTGCCATGTATCTAAGGGGCAAGTACGCACTCATGAGTATGATGCAAGCCACCTATTGTGATGGAATGGCTGCATGCAAGACATGCCCAACAAAGTGAAGGTAGCCGCTTTTACGCTTCGAATGAATGAAATTACATAACTTGTGTGAGTGCTGGAGCGGCAACATGCCAAAATGCACGTGCTTGGCAATCGGTTGGAAACACTTAATGCCCTCTGGAACATGGATCAGTGCATGCAATATACAAGAGCTTGGCTGAAGCAGTTTGCTTGCTTCTTTAGGAGGCTTCTCTTGTCAGGTGTCACTTCCCCGTCTGCAGAATTTGCTCAGCACTGCGGGCTGCAGCGCGACTTGGGGAATTGCGTGCAAGAGGCCACATCTATGCTACGAAAGCCGCGCTCTGCTACGTACTATTTCTCAAAAAATCCAATGGAAGCCAAACGCAGGCCCATCCTGTGCCGGACAGGCCGAGCCCCCCGAAAATGACCCCAACGTGACTCCTTGCAGGAGTCACCTGCCTCCCTCTTGAGAGGATCCGCCCAACTTGGCGTCCCTGCTCTTCCCGCTGCACACCCTTCCGGCCACTCATCGGGGAGCTGCTGCGGATCGCCACTGTCCAGCCTCGGGGCCCGTGCAATTTTCGACGAGGCGGCCTGACGTGGTTGCTACATTGCTTCTTCGCAGTTGCTTCTTTAAAATGTGTTTTAATGTTTTTTTTAATGTTGTTCAATGTGTTTTGTTGCTTTTAAAGCCTGTTCAGCCCTACAATCTGTTCACATGAAGAAAAATAGGTGCTCCAATGGATTCCCTGTTCATGAGGCACAAGAACTGTACGGGGCATCAGCAGCCAGAATTCGAGAGCATGCCTCAAGCCTTGGGCTGAAGGTATGAAAGAATGCCAACCGCGTGGAGGCTGCGCTGACTTGCATGGCACGTTGGTGCCAAGCTTTAAAGAAACTATTGCACTGTTCTTGCCACCTTCCACTGGCCAAATGCATCACTAGCAAAACGCATTTCACAATGTGTGTTTCCAGGACCATGCTTGCCCTTGCAACAGCTCAACCAATGCTGTTTGTGGATCGCTCTCCTTGCAAACTTGGCTTTGCTGACTCTGACTGGCTGTTGGGCAAGCCTTTCCTAACCTTTCTGTGCGATTTTTCGTGACGTGCGCTAAGCGGATTTTGCAACCGAAAACGCGAAAACGCGAAAACCGCGAAAACGCGAAGACCGCGAAAACCGCGAAAACGGCAAAAACCGCGAAAACAGCGAAAACCACGAAAACGGCAAAAAGACGCGAAAACCGCGAAAACGGCAAAACACGCGAAAACCGCGAAAACTGTGAACACGCGAAACCCACGAAAGCGGTGAAAACCGTGCAAATGCCAATTTTCGCGCGACGTAGCCCTTTGAAAAGGTGGCAAACGCATCCCATATTCTGTCTATCCATTTATCTATCTATGTATCTGTCTATCTATCTATCTCTATCCAACTATCGATCAATCTATCTATCTATTGACCTATCTATCTGTCTATTTCTCTATCTCTATCTCTATCTCGATCTCTATCTCTATCTACCTGTCTCTATCTATCTCTATCCATCTATCTATCTATCTATCTATCTATCGATTTATATCCATCTATGTATCTATCTATCTACCTATCTATCGATCTATCTATCGATCCATCTATCAGTTTGTCTATCTATCTATCTATTGACCGTATCTATCCTATCTATCCTACCTAGATGTCATATCTATAAAATCGTTCATACCTGCCCTATTTAACTCATTGTATCTGATCTAGATTGTCCATCTGATCTATCTGATAAATATTATACGTCTTATCTACCTTGTCTATCATATCATATCTGCATTATTTACCGTATCTATCTTACCTACCTTGTCTGATCTTATCATAGATTATCTTGTCTTATGCTCTCTCTCTGTCTCTCTCTGCCGTTGCGTCCAGAGGGTCTTGACTCAGCAAGGCAACGAAAAAGGCGCCCACTGATATTCAGGGGCACCCAAAAACATATCAGGGTAGCCCGGGCAGACATCAAGTAGGAGCCACCAGGATTCCACCTCGGCCTACCATCATCCTCCGCCTCCAGGCATCCGGACATGGTGCTATCTTAGCCTATTTTATTTCCTATCGTATCCTAGCTTGTCCTGTAATATCCTATCTGCTCCTATCTATCCCATTTTGGCCTATCTTACCGTGTCGTATCCTGTCTTGGCCTATCTATCCTATGTATCGATCGATCTATTTGTCTGTATATCTACCTATCTCTCCGCCTTATCCTGTCTTATCCTACCCTCATCCTGTCTTATCCCATCTAATCCTATTTTCCTATTGTATCCTACCTTCTCCTATCGTATTCTATCTTATCCTGTATTAGCCTTACTATCCTATCTTATCCTGTCTTATCCCGTCCAATCCTCTCTTATCCTAGCCGATCCCATGTTATCCTACCTTATCTTGTATGTTGCTATATGTTCCTACCTTATCCTATCTGTTCCTATGTATCTATCTATCGATCTATCTACCAACCTACCAACCTACCCACCTACCCACCCGCCAATTTGCCATCTATCCCATCCTACCTATCACATCTATCTTATTATATCTTATCTATCTGATCTATCTTATGTATCGCATCGATTGTATCTACCTATCTACATTACCTACCGTGTCTTTTCTTATAATATATTATCCTGTGTTATCCTGTCTTAACTTATCTTATCCTGGGTTGTCCTATCTTATCCCATCGTATTCTATCTTATCCTGTCTTACCCTATCTTATCATATCTTATCTCAGATCACCTTGTCTGATCCTATCTGTCTATCTATCTATCTATCTATCTGCCGACCTATTCTATCTACCTACCTATTCTAAATATCCTACCTTCTCCAGTTCTGCATCGTTTCTAGCATATCTATCTGATGTATCGTATATCTTATCTACCTTGTCTACCTTATCTATCATGTCTATCCAATTTACCTTATCTACCTTGTCTACCTTACCTACCTCTATAGTATCTGTCTTAGCTTCCTTAGCGTGTATTATCATGTCTTGTTCTAACTTGTCCTACCTTACCCCATGGTGGCCAATCTTACCGTGTCTTATCCTATATTATCCTGTTGTAGCGTATCTTATCCTATGTATATATATATATATATATTTGCCTCTCTATCTATTTATTATTTATGCACATCAATATATATATAAACATATATTAGCCGTTTTTCATCCAATCATATCCTGCCCTATGCTGCCCTATGCTGTCTTATCCTGTCTTATGCTATCTTACCATATATGCTCCCGACTTATCCTAGCGTATCCTACCTTATCCTATGTATCTATCCATCTATCTATCTTATCCTATGTATATATCTACATATCCATTTCTCTATCTATCTATCTATCTATCTACCTAGACACCTACCTATCTATCCTATCTATCATGTTTATCATATCTATCCTATCTTTCCTATTTGTCCTATCTGTCGCATCGTATCTATCTCACTATCTTGTTCCATCTTATCTACATGATCTATCTATATGCCTTATCTACCTTGACTATCATACCTATCATATCTATACTATCTATCTTATCTATCTTGCCTACCTTATCTTATCCTATCACACATTGTCTTGTCTTATCTTCTATCTTATCCTGTCTTATCCTATCTTCTCCCATGCTATGTATCTATCGATTATCTATCTATCTCTCTATCTAATCTAATCTAATCTAATTTATCTATCTATCTACCTACCTACCTATCTTACGTCTATGACCGCTGGGGCTCAAAACACAAGGCCATTAAGCATACTAACGACGGAAACTTGCAGCGAACGAACACCTGCGAACATTGCGAAAACGCGAAAAGCGCAAAGCGCGGAAACCACGAAACCACGAAAAGCGCGAAAAGCGCGAAACCGCGAAAACCACGAACACCGTGAAAACCACGAAAACACGAAAACCAGAAAACGCGAAAACCACGAAAACCACGAAAACGGCAAGCATGGGAGAAAGGTGAAAAGGCGCAAGCTTCAAGAACAAAGGCGAAAGCCTTGAGAGCCAGCAACAGAGCTGTCTGGTTTTCTGGTTTTCTAGGCTTTCTAGGTTTTCTCGGTTTTCTCGGTTTTCTCTGTTTTCCGATTTTCTCGGTTTTTCTCGGTTTTCCTGTTTTCTCGGTTTTCCTGTTTTCTCGACTTTCCGGTTTTCTTGGCTTTCTCGGTCTTCCGGTTTTCTCCCGCGAATCCGGTTAGCTCCTTGTCGCTCAAAACGATTGCTTAGCGCCCTGTTTCCCATCACTGAGGCAGCAGCGTCCGTCATGCATCGGCTCAGAGTCTGCCTTGGCACCCCACATTGGCCAAACATGGACTGGGACACTTTCAACATGGACGCCATTGCAGGCAAGCATCCCACTCCCTGCTGCATTTCAGCGATGCGCATTCAGTACGCAAGTGAACCGCTGCCATGGATGGGATGGGATGGGATGGGATGGGATGGGATGGGATGGGATGGGATGGGATGGGAAAGGAACGGAGCGGAACGGAGCGGAACGGAACGGAACGGAACGGAACGGAACGGAAAGCAGGTGCGGGGTGCAGCTTGGCTTCTTTCGTTGCTTCCTTCCTTCCTTCCTTCCTTCCTTCCCTTCCTTCCCTTCCTCCCTCCCTCCCTCCCTCCCTCCCTCCCTCCCTTCCTTCCTTCCTTCCTTCCTTCCTTCCTTCCTTCCTTCCTTCCTTCCTCCGTTGGGTGTCGCTGACCTTCAAGCAAATAAGAGAAACATCTCCCTTTCATCCTCGTTTCCAGTGCCCCACAAGTTTTGCTTGATGATTTCTCCCTGCTAAAGCCTAACTAAGCACAGCTGCGCTCCAATCGTTGAAGAAGCCCACGAGGTAAAAACTGCCCTGGCCGTGTGAGCGAGAAAGCGTCAGGACATGCAGGGCTGCTGCCGATGACAATAACTTCAGGAATGGCTTCCCTAAAAATAACTCAAGTTGTGATCACGTTCCCGCCATTCACGCGAGCAGGCCTATGTTTGAAAAGACGATACTGCGGGAAGGACATCTGCATGCTTCATTTCCTAAATCAGACCTGCAAAAAGCCACCTCGCGCAACTCCCAAGGCAGGGATAGGAAACCAGGTGGGTGGGTGGGTGGGCAAAAGTCAAAAGGCTTCTACTCCAGCCGCACTTGCTGGGGCATGGCACAGATTCACGCAGTTGGAGGATCTAGGTTCCTCTGCCAGTACTTGGGAGGAAGCCTGTTGACAAGCACCGGCCTGCACTGAGGGAGCGCTGGACGCAAGGTCCTCATGCCTGCCGCGCCGAGCATCATCTTGCCACCCCTGACTGAACTGCTGATTCGCTGCATGCTGTCAAGCCAACTTGCTGCATTGCACGCCCGGCGCCAGAACTCACCGGTCTCTTCTCGCCATGTGAGTGTGCCCGTATGCGCATGCGTGTGGGTGTGGAAGTGAGTGTGTGGGTGTGTGGGTGTGTGTGTGTGTGCGGGCTATATTCGAAGTGTCATCCTGGTCAAGCCCTCATGTCAGAAGGCACAGGCCGCCTGTCCTTTTAGCACTGGGCGCACACACGCGAAGAAGCGTAAGCGAGCGAAAGCCCGTCCTCCCGGACAGACAGAATCCCAATCGCTCCGCCCCGCAAAGCCTCAACAACATGCAGTGCCATCCTTTCAGGCACAAGCTGTGTTCGTGAACTTCCGCTATGCTGGGTCATGGTAGCCTTGTGCCGCCATGCACAGATAGGGTGGGAAACTGGAATTACTCGACATGCTAGAAGTGTTCAGCGTGAAGACATTCGACATCAGCTGGACAAAAATGTTCTCGAACTTCTCCTCACCATACCTTGGGCACACATACACGCTTTGCAGTTCTATTGAAGCTGGCACGTCCTTCAAGCGACATAGGCCAGAATGTTTTGCGCGCGCTGGCAGCAATCTAAGCAAAAGGGTCCGTGCTGGCCTGCAAAAGGGAAGGATCTTGGCCATATGGCAAATTGAAATAGAGCGCGTCACATCGACATCCTGCTTGTGGGTATTTGTCTGTTGGGTGACGCCTGGAATGCGTTTGCAGAAAACACTTCGGTTTCGGACACCGAAGCATGACGAAGCATTCCCCAAGCGTCTTACTTCCACCGGGACCCCGGCAACGCGGGGAGCAGCCTGGACGCTGCCATCTGGCGGACTTCTGCTGCCTGCTGGTCCCAGGGCAGGGCCTGGCACCAGCCATCGGCCACAGCCATGCGAACCACCCCCGTTGATAGGGAACTCCGAGATGGGAGATATGATATGCATGCATACACACACATATATTGATATATACATATATGTACATATATATATATATATAAATTATATCTTTGTGTGTGTGTGCTTGGCTGTGGGTCAAACATAGGTTCCCGAATTGAGACCCTGGCAAGGACTCAAGCCTGCGGTCCCCTGCTGGCTTTAATTTTGACCCGTACCCATATATATATATAATTTTATGCAGCATTGGATGCATCCGAAGATGAAAGCTCCTCAGAAGCACTTAAACGCAGGATGCATAAACCCTTGCTCGTCCATGCCAGCTCGAAGGTTGAACTAAAATCACCCGTTTCAGAGGCCGCCAAAATCCGCCAGTACAGTCAGAATTGCCGAAAATGTTGGGGGGGGGTGGGTGACCTCTCAGGAAGCTGGAGGAAAAAAAAAACAAGAGGAAAAGGCCCGAACCTCCTGTAGGCGCCAGTAGTCCACTAGCAGCCCAGCCAGGTGGGCATCCGCGTACTGCTGTTGCTGGGCTCGGTGCTGGGACTCCAGCAGCGACGTCAGGTGGTCCTGCCGCAGAAATCCGGGCACTTGGCAACGTGCACAGCCGCGTCGCTTGTCAAAATCGGAGGAACGTTTGGACTTCAGGCGAAAATTCAGAAAGAGACAAGCAAACTCTTTACACATCCTTGCTCCCACATGTCAATGGATTTAAGGCATAAGGCTTTCACAAGTCAGTAGGGCTAGCCAAAATCTTCCAACAATGGCTTCAGCCCAAACTGCTTGCAAAATGGAAGGGGGGCTGCAATCCTTCAAACGTCGCGACTGAAAATAGACATCTCGGCGCAACATCAGAGGGCTCCATTGCTGGCATTCGCAAAGGCCAAGTTGCAATCACGCACTCATGCCCAGGGATGCTTCGCCGGTGTGAAATCTGATATGCATTGCTACTTGAATGCCGATAGAGATGTTGCAAGTGAGAGTTGAGCCCCCGCGCTTGGCTAGAAGGCGAATTTTATGCGATGCGATAAGCATGACATCCCTGACGCAAGCCTCCCCCTCTCCCCCGATCATCCAACAAATCTTCAGCCCGCTGCTGCTGGCAACCAACAGCTTGCAACTACACTGACAGCACTACTTTGTCTCATTCGTGCAGCCTGGAAGAGCTGCGGCCAAAGTCTGCAGAGCAAACTCACAAGTTGCTTGAAAAGAGGAAGGTTCCAACTTTCTTGGGGCCGAATGTCCCAACGTCCTGATGCAGGAAGGCCACCAACTGCTCCGCCAGCGCAGCAGCGACCTCTGGGCCCTCTGCGACCTCTCCTGCAGCCAACGTTCCAAGCCGAGTAAGTTTTGACGGTGGATCACGTTCCATGGTGGCCCCTGTGCTTGGTGAAACGAAGCCGAAGTCTCAGATTTCAACGCCCAAATCTAAAACCAGCTTCGACTGGAAAATTCAGCCAGCAATGCCTTCACGACAGGCGACCCGCCGCCACCTACCAAAGGGCGGTGCGGTGGGCGGGCAGCAAGCGAATCTTCATCACGCAAAACCTCCGCTGAAAATGGCCTAATATGGCCTACCAAAAGAGCCTATGGGTGGACGGTCACCAAGCGCATAATTTTAAAACAGCAACTTAGCCGGCTGTTCTTCCGCACCCTTCGGATGGGGCTGCTAGATGTTCAACAATGCGCCTGAAAGCCAGCAGCGCCAGCAAATGACAAATGCCAGAGCGAGTAGAGAGCGAGTAGGCCTGACTTCTGGGCTGGGCGTCTGCGTGGGGCCAAATTTGCAGAGGTCCAGTGTGCGCGGGGTCCTGGCGGCCAGTCAGACACAGATACGCACACGCCCGGCTGGGATCGGCTGGGTGTCTGTCAGGCTAGCTACGCGTAGGTCCGGGTCTGGAGCCACTCAGACACAGAGGGCTTAGTCTGAGTGTCTGCGTGCGGCCAGGCCTGGGCCAGACAAATACAGAGACTCGTCCAGATACGTACACGTCCTGGCGCCAGTCAAATGAAGATACGCACAGTCTGTGTGGGCCAAATGCGCGCAAATCAGGGGCTGAGTGGTTGTGAGGACGCGCGTCGCCTGTGTGCGAGTCTGAGTGGCTGCGTGGCGCCAAGACACTCGCAGGTCGGGGTCCGGCTCTGAGTGTCCGTGTGACAGTGTGGGGCCAAATACACCTCAGCATCTGTGTGACCATGCTTCGCATATTTAGCAACATGCTTACTTAAACCTACTTGATACGTGCTAAAGGTCTTCCGAGCCTGGAAAAATGATGTCTGGTATTGTCTTGTTTGTTAAAGCTAAGTCTGCGAAAATATCAAATGCCATCAAAATAACCTGAACATCTGCTGAAGCATCACTAGCTCCTGTATTGTATGTTCAAAATTAACCAGGAAGGGAACAACTCAGGCATTTCATGCCTAAATAATTGCCCGAAAGCAACTATGATCAAATGAATAATTGCTATGAACAAGAAGATCTATCTAAGCATATCTACTTGGTGTAGTAGTAACGTCTGAGTCTACATATGTATGTGTATATATATATATATATTTATCTATTTATACACACCCATAGTAGCTTTGAATACTTCACTGCAGCTCAACTATGTGCAGATCGGGAGAAACTAGGGCAAAACTTGGCGGAACTGCTTGTAAACATTGGCCGGAAGAAATCGGACAAAGTGGGCGGAAGGTGGGAAGCCTGGAAGTAGGTTTTTGTTTAATGAACAATGGGGTGGTCTGCCATATGCCAAATGTCTGTTGGGGGGATGGTCGAACGGCCCAAGGTCCTGTCATCTCGCCTTTGGCGTAGGTGTCCCAGGCCGCTTCCCCAAGGAACCCGTGCGTGGCCGTAGTGACCAGCGAGGCCAGGGGCGGTTTGGTGATGTCCCGGCCTGCTGCTTCAACCCCAACGCGCGTCTTACGAAAAGGAATGCATTCTTCAGACCCGAAAGGGCACAGAGGGGGGGAACATGGGTCATTCCCCCTCCAGACTCAAACTGACAGAGCAGTACGACATTTCGATATGGCGCACGAACCACGGCAACCATGCATCCAAACACAAGCGCCAGCCGCAAAGCTGGTGTCAAGCGCCCTGGTAAGGCAAAAGCCCTTGTGGGGACTAGCTGCCGACTCGTCCACACCCTGAAGGCCCTTTGAACTGTTTTGCCGAATCTGCAGAAAGGGTTGTGGTGGTTGTGGAGGTTGTTGTGGTTGTTGTGTTTGTGGTGGTTCAGGTTTTGAATGTTTGAGAGTGCGCCTTTCCACGGTGGCATCAGTGGACACGTACTGTGTGCGCAGCAGCAGCGATTCTGTGCAGCGACTGACAGTGGTGCGCAAACATACCACCACCACCACCACCGCCACCGCCACCGCCACCGCCACCGCCACCGCCACCGCCACCGCCACCGCCACCGCTGCCGCCACAACACCCGCAACCACAAATCTGACGTCGGCGGTTCCGGGCAGGCATGAAAGCGGCTTCGAAGAGCCTGCTGCCGAGCAATTCTTGCAGTTCTGCTCCCCAAATCCAATCATGCCTTAGATCCTCACTGAACCGTTTTGGGGCTGCTGGACTCCGCGAATCCGCCCACTGCCCTAAGACTCACCAAAGTCGAAATCCATCGGCAGCCAGGTGGCTGCCAAAACACGGGCAATCTTTCCGTTGGAAGTAGAGCAACTCTGACCCAACCTGTGAATATGCAAACAATTGCAATGCAAATCGACATTGACATAGACCTACATTGACCCACATGCGATTAGCACATCAGCCTCCCTGACAACAGAAGCAGACGAAGAAGAAGAAGAAACAAGCGATTCCCGAACTCCTGAATCCACCGTTGTTCGCCGACACGGCTCAGACCACCACACACACACACACACCATCCCAAATGGAGAAACTTACCATGACAAGCACGATTGCATTCCAGTTTGCTCATTTTCACAATGCGTTCTCCCTCGTTTCAGCTGGGCCATGGCGCCCCAAACCCCAATGCTCGGCCAGGCAGCTCCAGCAGGTCGCAGGGGCGCGCAGCATCCGCGGCGAAGC